CAATTGGGATTCGAGCCTGGTATTTGTTGGGTGAGTGAATGAATGAATGAATGAATGACTATTGAATAAATGAATGTTAAAACCTTGGGTCAATCTCTTTAAAATCACTATCATTATCGGGAGACTGGGTCCCTTTGTGTCCTGATTCAGTCACACACACAAAAATCTATATACATCCCCGTTTACCCTATTCTATTTTATTGAGAACACACAGGCTAGTGTTCGTTCACTTGGAGAATACATACACCCTGGTAGGTGTCTTCTATTCAGCCTAGTTTTGATCATTTCCAGTGTTTTTTTCATCATTTCTGAAAAGAGTGACGCAAATCCAAATTGCTTCCTGAAAACAAGGATATTTAAATGCAAACACAGGCAGAGAGAGTACAATGTGTCTCCTGTTTCTCGGGAACCCACACAACTCAGCACTTCCTATTTCCCTGTGTCCTCAGACATCTTGCTTCCTGCTTGGCCCGGGGAGTGTTGAGGCTTTAAGGCTGTTAAGGTGGTGGAGATGAGAAGGGGCCGTGGAAGGGTGACCTTCCTCTGTCCTGACCTCTCCTCCTCTCCTCTGCCTTCCTCTCTCCCCACCAAACCCACTTGTCCAGGCCAAGGGAGATGCCGGGGCCGGTTTCCTACTGACTGGCTCACTGGAGCCACCAACCCCTGCTCCTCAGGGATAAACCATGGGCGGCCCAGCACTTTGCATTGGTCACAATGTGCACAGAGGAGTGACTCTGGGAGAGGAAAGGTCAGGCCCCAAGTCAGCATGGTGGAGAAATTTTACAAATTTTTCCCCCTTGGATACAGTAAGAAATTTGGAAAATGCAGAAGAAAGGAAATTGAACAAAAACAGCACACATAATCCCATCACTCATAGAAAGGCTCTTTTAGTACAGTATCTTATCTCCCTTTTATGTTTGTAAAATTGGAATGATACTCTGTATGCTATTTTGTAACATATAATCATCATTTCTTAACCTCATTAAATATTCATCCACAAAATATTTACCAATATAGGTCGTCCCAATGTGAAATGAAGAGTAACTTATTCAATCGTTCCCCTCAGCCTCCACCACAGCACCCTTGGTTTACCAAGAAGTGTTGTTTGGAACACGCCATCCTTCTGAGGTCTGTGGTGCACTTGGTAAATAAAGGGCTGCTTCAAGGTCAAGCACAGCTTGCTGAAAGGAGGGTTTGACCTCGCCTCTGCCACCCAGATGTTGACAAAGGAACTCAGAGCCCAACTACAGAGGAAAGCCCTTTTGTGAATGAGGGACTTATTTAGGCAGCATGCTTCCCAAAAGATTTTTTTAAAAACTTTTTGCCTGAAATCACTGAGATTTTAAAATTCCCACAGTCATAATGGGAGTCTTCAAAAGAAAGTAGGGTACAGATTTGGGCAATAACAAGTAGCAACAGCTAGAGAAGCAAAGACAATAAGAGAGCTAGTAATCAAAGATATGCAAATTACAAGGTAGGGCCACATTCCTTTTTCTTGCTGGGGAGGGCCTATGAGATGGCAGAACTCTTTTGATTTTCAGCCTTAGTATCCCAGTGAGAAAGGGAGTGAAGAATTCCACACTCCTACACACTAGAGAGCAATTTTGCAATACGCACCAAGAGCTTTAAAATGTTTCTATGGTCCAGCCTAATAATATCATGTCTAAAAACAATCCTAAGAAAATGATTAAACATGTGGTTAGAGATTTGTGTAAATAAAGGTCAGAATAATGTTATTTGTAGCCTCAAACTATGAGCTGCCAGCCTAAATATCCAATAGGATAAAGTATATAAAGTAAATTTTAATACATCCATTCCATGGAACGATGGATGTTTTTGAGGGGTTTGTATCGTCATTAAGAAAACCCTCACAGTATGGTGTTCTATGAACAGAAACACAGCATATAATTGATTATTAAATTATATAATGACATGGAAAAATTATCAGAAGAAAATACAGAAAAAATTCACAGCACATACCTCTAGGTGGAGGAATTAGGATTGATATCTAGTTTCTTCTTCAAGGGTTTCCATATTTTCTAAACTTGCTACAATTGCAATATGTTAATTTTATATTCAAAAAAGTTAGCTTTATCACAAAGAGTGAGACAAAGACAAAAAAAAGAACATTGAAAAAATCTGTTTAGTCCTGGCAAAAATACCCCGAAACTCAAAGTCATGAAATGTCACATAAAAAACACAAGTCCCATATAGCCAGAACCAGCAGAAGACGTAGAAGAGAACGCCACAGATCAGACACACGGCAAGAGGCAAAATTAAGCTTATGAGAAAACAGATCCAACCCCAGGAGGCCCCTGGCTGGAGGTTTCATCAAGACCCAGGGGCCGGAGGAAGCGGAGACCAGCACCTGCACCTGTGTGTCCGGAGGTGTCCTCTGGGCGCATACGGGACGGCTGGGGCGAGTTCTTACCAAGCCTGTAAAGTGCTGGTTAGAGAGAGAGGTCTGGACCAGAGAACCCTTTCCTGGCTTGTACATTAGGCAAATGAGACCGAATAGGCAAAGGAGAGTTGATCCTGGATCCCCAAATGGCGTGCAGGAGAGGACACCGCCTCTCTAGGTAGCTCGTGCCTCCCTGAGTAAATACCAAACCCACACTGCCTCAGGCCAGTGTCAGAAAGTACAGAGGGGACCCCACCCTGGCCCTCTGCTTGTCCATTCCAGCACACACCAGGATGGACAAAAGCCCGTGGGAACAGACACTGACATTCTCCAGACCACCCACACCTGCTATTCCTCCCTCCATCTGGCCTTCTTAGTCCTGGAAAACTGTCTTGATCCGGTGCCTGTCTCCTACTGTTCCCCCAGCTCCACTAGTTAACAAACTAGTCTGCAGCTACCTGTGACCTTGGAAACCTTCTGAGACCCATCTTCCAATATTTGTCCTCTAGCCCCGCATCCCACCATCACCGCAGGTCGGAAGCCCTTGTAGCAGATGCTGTTGGTGCCTCGCCCACATCACCCACATGCCCTATTTCTGGGCCTGCCAGCCTGATTTTTACCTCAAGTATCACTAACTCTTTGCCCAAGGCCTTTATCAGCCCTCCAGGGACTTCTCGGCCCATGTGTGCAGCAGGTCAAAGTGCCAGGGAGTCAACAACTCAATGGAACAGCCTTCAACCAATGACAACTGAGAACTGGTGGATGAATACCCCAGCTCCTCCTGCTCAGAGGGGACAACCCTGAGCCGTGTCCTCTGCTTGTTTCCAGAGCTCCCAGCTTCAGCTGTCTACAGTGGACACTTGATGGGCAACACTTCACGGATTGTCTTCCATCTCTTCCCTCTGACACTTCTCCACCTCCCTGCTGATGTTTTCTACCATTACCTGACAAATAAACTGCATGCGCCTGGATCATTGTCTCAGAGTCTGCTGCAGGCAGAAACCCAAATAGGACAGCGGCACATCTTATGCCATACAGGACTTGCCTGTGAGGCCTGACCTTCGGCAGTGTCCACATCTGTCTATGCTGGGAGGTGGGCAGGTCAGACACTGGAGCTGGTGGGGTCTGTGTTCCTCTCCCGTCTAGCCTCTAGGACTCACCTCTGTGCCGTTGGGCCAGAATTGCAGATGGGACACCAAGTAAGACATCTCCAAGCAAGTCCAGGAACAGGTCTTTCTTTTTGACAGGGTCCTCTGTTCCTCCTAAATACTCCTCAGTGGCCACCGAAGTCAGCTCCTCAGGGATGCCCTGAAATAGATCAAGACGGTGACCATGAGCCCTGGTGAGCAGTGCAGCTTCTCTGGCCAGTGAGCGAGGCTCGCACTGATGGAGAACCGCCCCAGCCCTGGGCAACTCCCCCCTCAGCCCCAGGATGATCAAGTGGGGAAGGTAGAAAAGTGAGGGTAGAACCCTCAAGCCCCAGTTTCCACTCTGTAATTTAATTGATCTGTGATTTGGGACAAGTCCCTGCCCCTCTTTGGGTCTCAACCAATTCCCACGATTCCTAGACTCTTACACAATGGGGTACATCTTCCACAAGAGTGACGTGGCCGTCTTCTGGTCCAGTTTGCCTTCAGAAAGCGGAGAGCTCATCAACTATTACAAAAAACATGGTTAAGATTTTGTGAATTATCAGGAATTGATAAGAACCAAACTGACCAATGAACCAAACCAACACAGACTGAAGGTCCTCTAATTTTCTTGGGCCTTGAAAAGCATGGGTCATTAATGAACTGCGAAAATCAATGAATCAAATGGACTTGCATCCAGAAATTTAAGGATTGTAAAGAGGATAAAAAAAAATTTAGGAGAAGCTATGTCAGTTTTTGCAGCATGTGTGCAGGTGCATATGTCAGTTTTTGCAGCATGTGTGCAGGTGCATGTGTGTTTGTGGGTGCGTGTGTGTGTGGTGTGCATGTGTGTTTGTGGGTGTATGTGTGTGCATGGTGTGTGTGTGTGCATCAGGCTAGAATCCCCACAATGGTCAGGGAGTCAGAGAGGGAAGCTGTGGCCAGGCTAGCATTGAAGTCAAGGGCTCTGGGGCAGGTGACACAGACCTCTCAAATTCCCCACCTATAGCAGATGACATAGGAAGTCCCGAATCCTGCCATCATGGCTTTGGTCTTAGGCATAACCTCTGATATCCTTCTGAAGGCAGAACTGCAGAACTCTCAGCACATAACGACTCTGTCCAAACCTCTGCACCCAGAGAC